AAACTTATTCAGGGTATATTCTGATTTTCTTGTTTCTTTGACGTCTTATTTATTATTGCCCAACTTTTTCTGAAAATGTGAGCTTCCAGGATATGCTTTCCTTGCTTAAAGATATTCTTCATTGTTAATATCCATCCATCTTCCATCCATTCCTCCATCCAATAGGTACCCCAGGACCCTACCATCGGCGTGGATCTGCGGCAGCTCCCAGGAGGAGCTGGGCGTGACCTCTGACCACAGCCACCATGGATAAGGCAAGGGCACCGAGGTCTGTGGCCCAACACGGGGGGTGAGAACAGGCAGGTCAGGCGGTATGAAGGTGCTGGGAAGGGGGCCTGGGGGCAGCCTCTGCTCTCTGGTTCTCTTAAGCCAAAAATGTCACAGCAGTAAGAAGAGAATGGCGCCCAACCCAGGTTCGGAGCCCACCTCCGCCCGGTTCGTCTAGTGGCCGGCCCCCGGAAGGTCACGTCACCTCTCCGACCTCCAGTTACCAATGTTCTCATCTGTTGAGTGCAGTTAATACCCGGACTGTGGCAGCCATTGTGAGAGTAACAGGAGGTCTTGGGCGTAAGGTCACTGGGCTGCAGTGTGCCCTCAGAACGCTGTCCTGCACCTCCACGTCTGAAACCAAACCTCAGTGTAGGACCCTGTCCACACACACACACACACACACACACACACACCTCTTCTACTATGTATTCAGGCTCCTTTGGAGGGAGTCCTGCCGGGCTCAGGAAGCTCTCTTTGGCGCTCAGCCTTCTCCTTCCTAGAATGGCGGGGACGGGCCTTATCTTGAAGGGTCAACACAAAGTCGTGGAGCCGGGAAGACGGTAGTTCCACTACTGGGAATTAACAGGCAATCTGTCCAGGCTGCTCCCCTTTTCTTCCACTATTTCCCCCAAACTTGGGATACAGGCAGCCTTCCTTAGCATTACCTTGTTCCTATAGTCTGGCTTCAACCACTCTCTGAGTTTATTCACAGGAAAGGAATCTGCCCCCCAAAGCCCCCTTCCCCAGACCGCCTTTCCTCCCCAGACCTCCAGACCCGCCCTGTCGGACGTGTGTGGCCACCAGCCACTTGCGGCTCTGCGGTACTCAAAATGCAGCGAGTTCTAATTGTCATGTGTTGGAAGTGTAAAATACTGGACGCGCTAAAGGTGAAATAAGAAAAGAAAAGAGTTTAACTATGTCCTTAATATTGTTTGGTGTTGCTTGCCTGTTGAAATGCTAATCTTGTGGCTATCACGTTTCAACAAAATATGTTATTAAAATGAATGACATCTTACTTTTTTTTAATGTGGCTATCACCAAACCTACAGTGACATATATGTGGCTCATGTGAGATTTCTTCTAGTGGACAGCACCGCTCTAGGCCCTCCCTCCCGGCTGGGGGTCCCTCAGACCCCTTCTCACAGCCTCCCAGGCTTCTAGGTTGAGGTGCACCTTTGGGAGAGTCCTTCTCGACCTCGGCTGTCTCCACGAGCCCTCTTTAAGGTCCTGCTCCCAAGATCTCTGGATTATCTGGGGATTGGCTCCACCGGTTTGTTCCCAAACTATCTGTAGACAGACTGCTCCCCAAAGGAGGGCTTTCTGTAAGTGGTCCCCACCAGGGGCAGTGCAGGTGGATTACTAGCCCGATGGCTGATGATGCGCCCCTGTGAGTTCATGCGTATCCACGGGGCCCTTAAAGTTCAATCAGGTGCTTGTTAACGGAGTCTTGCGGGGCCCGGGGTCATGGGTAGGAACGTTAAGGACAAAGACGGAGGTGTCCCTGAATATTCAACTGCAAGGAAGCAGACAGGTTTCAGCTGACCAATGAGAGACAGAGACCCCTGGAGTCTCGAGGGGAGAGGGGGGGGGCGGGAGAACCAAAACTAGCCTCTGAAACACACCGTCTGGTTTTGCCTAATTTTTAGATTATATGCTACCGTTCTGAAAAACGTTTAAGAAGCCCAGGAGTCTTCTTGGCACCTTCAGGATGGACACCACGGGGATTTACCAAATGGTACTGTTGACCCCAAACTGGACTCCTTGGGTTACAGATGGGGAAACTGAGGCACAGACGGGCTTCGGGACTTGCTGGAAGCCATACGGCAGATTGGTGGGGAGAGTGGGGCTTGAGGCCGTGCGTCTTGGCTCTCATTTCATCGTCGCTTTGTGCCGTGTTCTCATTTCACGGGTTTGGCTGTTGGCAGACGAAGAGGCCCGGAGGTCTTTGTCTTCTCCCCTGGCAGCCTCCTCCCCACTGACTTCTTTGTCTCTGTCCCTGTCCCCGCCTTCACTTCTTCCTCTAGCTTGTGATTCACCCCCCTTTCTCGGTCTCTCTTACAGCCTCTTTCTTCAACCCCCCGCCTCTCTCTCTGCCCACCCCTTATTTTAAATAGGAATGTATATTGGAGTCACTGGAAGCTTTTAAGACTACAATCTCCCAGGCCCCAGCCCAGACCTTGGCGTTTGTATTTTTTTAAGCAGCTTTATTGTCGGTCCCTCGCTGCTTCTGACCCCTAGATAAGAGGGGAGACACGATGAGATATTGAAGATCTGAAAGGACCAGCCAGGGGGCTCGGGGCGTAACAGCTCAAGAGTGGTGCTGAGAGGGCACCCCTCATATTTATTGATCAAAGAATTGTACACAACAATGATCTAAGGGTGACTTAATACATAATGTATAACTAATCATAACTTGCTGTTCAACAGCCTCGAGTCTCATGGAGCGTAACGCTCTCAAAAACCTTTGGAACAACATAAAAGCAGTCGCGTCATGGAAATGAGATTCCAGTTAAGGGAACTTGCATACATCGAGCGTTACAGAAAAACCAGTCAGAGAAGTTGAATCATATATCACAGCTGATCATTGCTCTCCAGGCCCACCAGGCCCCCAGTTTATGGAGGTGTAATCGGACGTGTCTACTGTACACACGTGGACGAATTTGCAGATACGCATGTACCATGAAACCACCGCCACAGTCCAGGTAACCGGCGTGCCCATCGCCTCCAAAAGCTCCCTCTGCGCCTTTGTTTTTGCTTTTGTGTTTGTTTTAGTCTGTGTGTGTGTGTGTAAGAACGCACCGTGAGCCCTCCCCTCTTGACACACTTGTCACACACAGTAGAGTATTGCTAACTAGAGCTTATTCCTTCTGCATGGCTGAAAGCTCACACATGCGGAACGCTGTAGAGAACCCCATCTCTGCGTTAGAATCACAGACATAAAGGGGGCCGCGAGTCCTCCTGGGAAGTCTTCCCAGCCCCATACGCTTCCACACAGAAATGAGTCACCGTCCTCTTTGCTAGAACCCAGACAGGGTTCTTATTTCAGAAAACCTTCCCTTCTCACTTACGGTGGCAACTTCATGAGGACAAGGGCTGTCTCTCTTTTCCCAAGCTTCCCGCACACTGACCGACGACAGGGAAGTCCAGGTTTGATGTGCATGACTCTGATGGGGACAGTAGTGGCTGCCACTGGCACATCTAAGGCAGGACAGAAGACTTTCGGGGCCCAGGGCAGGTGGAGGCAAAGCACCTTCCCTGGAAAGCTTCCTGCCTCCTTCTGTGGTCACATAATTTTCCTCGATCCCTTGGTTTGGGCTGTGAAGGGGAGACACCGACCCGGCACCTGGCCAGCCCCTCATCCACCGCAATGCGTGTGATCCCTAACAAGCCCTGTAAGGCAGTCACTGTTACCTCTGTTTTAGAGAGGAGCAACTGAGGGCTTGTTTCAGAGAGCACAGTGACCTGCCCGAGCTCACGCAGCTGGTCGCTGAGACCCGAGCTATGAGCCTGGAAGTCCTGACTGCAGTTTCGGTGCATTTCCCATCTTCCCGACCAGGAAAGAGGACGTGGATGCTCTGAGGTTCAGAGAGAATAGGTGTTTGCAGTATTTAAAGCTGACTTGGCACTAAAACCAAGGAATTCCTGCACATCGTAGGAAAGAGGCACAGAGCCCAGCAGAAACACAGGCAGAGGAAACGGACGGTGAATGCTGAGGGGTCGACTTCACCGAGAAAGGAAGAGTTGCTCAGTGGCATTGTTACAGAAAACCGGAAAACCTGGACTGGATTGCTGGCGGAAGAACCGAGCAGCACCGGGAGGTCTTGGAGGGCGGAGGTTTATTTCATGCTGGCAGGCTCGGAGGAGAGTAACCTCCAAAGGCCTGAGCCCCGAGTACAGCAGGCCATGTCTTTTATACATTCACTACAAAGCTAAGCGGGGAGTCAGCACCCAGAAACCATTGCAGGAGGAGGTATTAGGTCACTATAGATGAATTCAGGATGCTAGTTATATTTTAACCCATTTCTGTAAAGGTCACCCGGTACCGTATTATAAACTAATGGCTTCCATGACTATGATTAACAAGCTGTTCCACACCCCTGAGTCCCGGTGGTGGGGTGGGGGGTAATATGCAGCTACATTGTCTCAATCCCGAGCACCTAAGCATCTTGAGATTCCTGTATGTTTCTGGAAGCCTTAACAGAAACTTTGTTTCCTTGACTTTCTTAAGCTTTCCTGGCTTCCTACCAAACCTGGAGCGGGGGAGGGGCCTGAGAACTTTCTGTATATTTCCTTATCAGCATTAGTGTTCAGAGAAGTGTAATTTGAACAAAAGCAAGGAATCCTCTGACATGATTAAAATTTGGTTTCAGTCTTGTTACTTTGCTAAAATTTGTATTCAACTTTGACCTTGGCCCGTGGGCAGCCAGCCCTACTGCCTCATCCACTATCTTTCCTGGAAGCCCCAGATGCTTGTTTGAGCTGTGATTTTTTGTGATCATCTAGGCTGTTTTCATTTTAATATGCATAGAAGACATTTTTTTATGCCTCACAATATCAGTAATGTTAACAAGGTATGTTTTCAAGTGCATTTTAATATGTTACTATTCACCTTTAAATATGAGTTGCATTCTAGATGTAATTGGCAAGTGAAGGAGGGAGGAGGGGAGAGAGGGGCGGGGACAGGGAGCAGACAGTGGCGTGGCTATAAAACCCCGGATGAGCTGGTCGACCGCCTGTGCCTGGAAGGAGAGCATGGCGCTGCCCACAGGGCTTCTTCTGGTTTGGGCCTGCTGGCTTCCCAGTGTCTTTGGCCACTGGTATGAAGGTGAGGAGCAATGAGACTGTCTGGGTTGGGCGTTTCAAAACCGAGTCTTGCACGTCCACTGCCTTATGCAATCAAATCTGAGACAACACGGAGAACTAGGGTCACCCCGATTTCATGTGCCTGAGGAAAGAAAAACATACTTTCTCTGTTTTTCCAAGTATTTCCATTTAATAGATGTAAGCTGTGGATTGGCTTTTTAAAACAAAAAATATGAAGGTTCGGGTAAAACAGAGGAGTAGAAATGCAAATAGGAAAATTCTATTGACGGAAGTCGTGGCCCGTGGTGCCTGGGTGGTGTCCCCTCACTTTACACGCCTTACAGAGAGGCTTTGAAAATGGAACTGAGTTTTGGAAAGCCCATTTTATTCCTTTGCCAAAATCATGTTGCCTTCAACGATTAGAAAGTGACAATATAAGACAGGATTTCATTATGGAGGCATTTCTGCCAGGTTTGATGAGGGTTGCATACAGTTGTGAAGACAATTTTTTATGGAATAGGCAAAAAAAAACCCCAATAATCTTGCTTGTGCTACTGTCAAGTGTCCTTCAGGCCACCTCTACATGGAAAACTAAACCAAGCGCAGTGGTTTTTTTTGAAATCCATGTTTTTTAAAAAAGAAAAAGGGAAGGATGCTCCCAGTGTAACTATGACCACTGCTTTCTTATCTGTTAAAAATCTCTATTTTACACTTATTGAAAAATAACACTTCTGACTCAGACAAGATTTTGTATGAGTCATCATTGGGTACATACGTCAAAAAGACAGTGCAAGTCAAGAAGCTGGTTTAGATGATCCTAAAATTTCTCCACTTTGAGGGTCTGGCCTCCTGAATCACACACGTCATGTTTTTCCATATAACATTATCTCGTGCTGTGCAGTCTCAGCGATCCCAGCATTTCTCAGTCCGGCGCGCAAAGGACTTAACACCCGCTGGTCCCAGGCACGTCCCCTGGGCTGTACTATGCAGCGCTGGTCTACATCTGGGCCTTTGGAACTGCTGCTTATTCGCTATCTCTATCCTCTCTCACGAGTATCTGCTCCCCTGAGGTTAAAAAAGCCCCCTTGTGGTCTCAGGGAGTTTGGTCTGAGCCACGGATGTGCACGTGAGTTCTGATGCCGGCCTTTTGAATATCGTGGTATTCCATGTGGGCAATAAGAACCACGTCCCCATAGCAGCCTGGCCTGCAGATAAGGAGCCGTCAAGACGAAGGAGCATTCTGTCTTTGGACGCATCCGAACATGGGTAGCATTGCATTTCAGCGTTTTAGAAGCGAGGAGATGGTAGGTTTCAGCTCCTGCTGGGTGCACAGGATGCGGAGCGCAAAGGGCAGGAGTGTCTCCGCGGTGAGTTCCACTACCCGGGCTGGCGGGAAGACAGAGGAAACAGACCATTAGCAACGCATGCTAAACCGCCTGGACGCCTGGCGGGAGAGCGGAGAGAGACTGAACTCGCAGCAGGGCTTTACAGAGGGCTGGCTGAGCGATCTTGTTCCAGCACTGGCCGTTTGCCATGCACAAAATGTGCTTTCTCCACTATTACAAGCTGCTGGGGCGTATTCAGGGATCACAGGACAGTGGGGTCCCCCTAGAGGGGGCAATCCAGGCAGGAGCCCCTGGCAGTGTGCACCCAAATTTTGGGGTCATCTGTTCCCTTTGACCATTTCAGCCTCCTGAGGGATAGGACTGATCCTTAAATTTCAGCAAAAGCGTGTGCTAAAATGTGACCCTTGCATGACAAAAGCCTTCATGACTTTATGGGGGTGAGGGAGAATGACCGCCCAGAGCTCGCTGAAGGCTGAGGGCTCCTCCTACCTTCTCTGTCCCACCCCCCTTCCGGGCAGGGGCTCAGAAGTGCCTTCTCCCTGGGGAGGCTCCAAGGCCAGCCTCCTCTGTGACCTCCGGCGAGGCTCTGCCTCCCTCCTGCTCCGAGTTCCCACATCTGAAACAGGAGAAGAGCGCTTCCTGCCGCCCCCCAGGGTCGCCTGCGTGGAGGGCAGAACAGGCCGTTCTCAGTACGCTATGGCAGCACTTGTGTCACAGGTACCGTTGCAGCTGTTAGGGAGGCACGGACCGGCCAGGACTCGGCGGTGAATATTCACAGACTGAGTTTGACTCTTGCGGATTCCTCTCAGCACAAGGTCCCACAGGTCTGTCTATGTTGTCGCCTATTATTTCCTTGTCTTTTAAGGCTGACTAATAAATACCCCATTATATGCATACACCACATTTGCTCTGTCCATTCATCTGTCAGTGGACGTGAAGGCGGTTTGGCTTGGCTATCGCGATTAATGCTGCGACGGACTGGGGTTCGGGTTTCTCTTTGAGACCCTGGTTTCAATGCTTTTGGACAACTATCCAGACTTGGGTTGCTAGACGGCGTGGTAGTTCTACTTTCAGCCTTTTGAGGGTCCTGTCTACTGTCTCCCATACAGGCTGTACGAATGTACGAATTCACACTCCCACCGCGAGCACTCCGTGATTCTTGGCTGTTGTCATTCGGTCAGGGGTTTCTTTTTTAAATGTTTAAAACTTTTGTATTATGGAAACATTCCCACAGACTCAAAAGAATTGTCTCACGCCCTCCCCCTGGGGGTGGCAGAAAGAAAATCTAGGGTTCAGCAGAGAAGGATGTTAAGAGGAACACTCAGGTTATAATTTCATAGCCCAGGTGAGAGTGGGATATGTTTGTCTCATGCTGACTTTGCATTTCTTCCTAAGGCTGAATAATATTCGACTGTATGGCTCGATCATGTTTTGCTGATCCATTCATCCACTGATGGACATTTTGGTTGTTTCCACCCTTTGCCTATTGTGAATAATGCTGCTATGAACATGGGCGTACAAATACCTGTTGGGCTGGCTGTTTTCAATTCTTTGGGGTGTAGACCCAGAAGCAGAAGTCATTAGGATTTTTTAAAGCTCAGCTGGTGATTCTAATATGCAGCAAGGTTTATGAACGACCACACCGGTCCATCATGGAGATTCACTGAATAATGGGACTAAGGAATATTTTCATTCCAAGCCACCACCGCAGCCAGGAATATTTAGCTGAAATGGAAACTTGTGGAATGAATAAACATGAACAAATAACAAAATAACCCATTATACACAATTATAATATATAATTACAACTATAGAATGTATAGGTATACTAAATAAAAACATAATTAATTCCTAATTGTCCTTAATAAACAGAATATAGACATAACAAATGCAAAATTAAAGCCGTTGCTCTTTTAGGTATTGTTACAAATTTTATAATATACAAAACTTATGAACTCATCTCAAATACAGCCTCTGCTGAATGTTAATGCTTTCATGGTAACGAAGGAGAAAAGCAATTTACATTATAATATGCCTGTGTTCTCTGAACCAAACATGACATTTGTAAATTGATTTGTTGGTAAATTATGCTTCTCTATCTTAGATAATTTTAATGTGTATTAAGCAGTGTCTTGTCAGTGGGTTTCAGCCCCAGGCAAGTTCACTATGGATTCAGTGAGACGACAACGGAAGGGGGAGAAAGGGTTTATTGCCCAACTTGTTCTCCCAGGATAGGTCCAGCACTAGAATTACATCTGCATCCAACATGCAGGTCTGTAATCCCCCTTCCTCTCTGCCTCCACCCAGAGCCCTGGGCAGAGCTCTTTATATATAGTGACTCAGTCAGTAATAGCTTGTTGCCTACGGGCGTGGAGGCTGCAGCCTAGCAGCAGGCCAGTTACCGCATCAAGTAGTTAAGGTTCCGGCGCATCTCATGCTGTTTGGGAAAAATCAGACTTTTCATTCTGTATTTATTCTGAAATTCATTCTATGTTATATTTCACTATAAAATTATGACAATTTTTAAAGATTTAATGAAATTAACTTGATAACAAATATTTCCTGTTTGATTAAGTATGTGCTGATTTGACATTAAATCATCTTTCCGTAAAATCACTTCATCAGAAACCATGCAAAATGACAAAACAAGAAAAGCTGAAGGTCTAGGAGGTGGGGGGATGAGTATGACAGGCTTAGAGGCCCAAGAAGGAAAATGGTTGAGAAGTGCAACTTTAAGGAAACAAGGAAAGCCGTCAGGCAATTTCTTCCACTCCAGGAATATTAAAATACTCTCCCTGGGGAGGATTTGACATCCTAAGGCCCTCTCCCATTTCCCAGGTGAGCAAAGTGAGGGAAACTACGTGGTAAGGGCTTGGGCCGGTGCTGGGGCTTGGGCCGTTATATGCACTGAGTCATCTCCTCCAAGGGGGACTCATATTGAATTGCCAGATCCACTCAGTGATATTACAGAGTCAATTCTGAATCTTTGTTCTCTCCTCTGCAAGGTGATGAAAGTAACACTTGTGTCACAACATTGTTCTGATGCATTAAATAAAATATAGTGCTCTGCACGTAGATGATGCTCAATGCACTTGCATTCCTGACATACCCCAGTGGCATCACCTTTATTTTTTCCTCCTAGAGAGAGGAATTTCCATTTGGAAAGTGACAACTCCAAAGGTATGAATTTCTAATAGTAGAATTCAGGTGTGAGTGAGAAGTGGTGACATAAATTAAAAACGTATAGTGTTACATTATCAGACACACCACCAAGCTCTCCCTGAAGACTGGCCTGAATCTTACTAAGACTAAAGTGGTGAAATGATGGGGCACTGAAGATAGTTCAGTAGTTCTGTAGTGTTGATAACAATAGTGGTTATAAGCTCCTAAGTGCTTTTTTTTTTGTTCTAAGTATTTCCTATGCATAATACATCTGCTCCTCATAACAACCCCATGGAATAGGTACACTTATTGCCCTCATTTTATAGAAAAGAATCTGGGCACAGAGGGGCTGAGTCATTACCCAAAGTCACACAGCTAGCTAGTGACAACTGGGATTTGAACTAAAATTCCTAAGAAAGTGTATTTCTGTAGCCACATCTCTGCACTGTCAATTTATATTCTAATATGTGTCCTACTGGAATCCCTCCTACTTGGAAGTACAGAAAAAGTAAATCATTTCTTATTGCCTTCTTTATGTTATGTTTCCCACTCCCAGAAAAAGAATTTTTTGTTCATGTTTTTTGCAGGGTGCCTGTTCGAACTATACAAACAAATAGGTACTCATTGAGATCTGGCCTGTGTTCTGATCTTAGAGAAGAGCAGTTGAAGAGCTGGGAACAATGGACAATCCACTTATTATCAAATGTCTCAGCACTTTCTTTGAGATTTCTTGTAACTTCAATATTTGCTAGATACCAAAGTTTCCTAAACTTGGATGCTGGAGCAACTCTTAGTGGAAATAAGTTCTCTATGGTTTTTGAAAATCTACTGCAAACTTGAATGAGTCGTCCATCTGGTCAAGGAGAAAATAGTAATGATTATTATAAGGAGAGAAATCCTTATCATTGCAATAAAATTTGTTACCATATGCTAAACACTTGCTATGTGCTGTATACCGTGCAGAGCCCTGATACGTGTTTTCATATAATCCTCACAACAAATCTATGAAGTCGAACTGCAAAGACTCTTCTTTAACAGACACTGAAAGTAATTTGATCTCATTTTTAAAGCCAAGGACAGTTAAGGAAATCTTTGGTGAAATAAAACACATTTTCCCTACTATACTGTGGTTTACTTTGTAGGAAAGTGTGGAAAAAGTAAATCCCTTGCTTGAATTTTTTGTGTTTGTTCTAAAGATTATTTTAATTGTTCCTGTGCATTAACCGTATTTGGAAAATACAGTCAAAGCAAAAGGAAAAACTAGCAATCACACCACTGAAAATGAGCATGAAGATGCGTCACCTTCAAAATATTATTCTTACTAGAATCAAATTTGGTTAAACATTTTCTTTTAAAAGCTAAACCTAGTAAAACATATTTGTTCAAAATTGTGTCTTTCAGGTGAAAAGCCACCAACTGTAGGTAGGTGGATCAAAATTCTTTTGTTAGAGTTTCTTTTTAAATTTTGCAATAAAATGTGAAGCTGTACATCTTTTCTTGGTAAGGAATCGTATTTTTCACGAAAAACTACTATTTATGTCCTCGTATATAAGATAAATTCCATGCTAAAAAATAGTTATGGAAAAAGAAGAGAGCAATCTTAACGTTACTGCTGATTTTACTGTTCATTTTTTTGAATGATCAAATATTTCATTACATTCAGCTTCATAATTTTTTTTGCAAAAATCGAGTCTTATAAAGCACAATGAAATACAAAATGCCTTTTGTCACCTAAAGATGAAGTACAAATGTTTCCCTATCTATTTATATGCTCATCTTTGTTAATGCCTGTGTGATATTATAAGCTGTATTTTATTTTTAAATTCCCTTACTGACTGATACTTTTGGGCTATCCGTAACCATGCTAAAATGAACATTCTTAACCCAAATGTCATTTCAACTGAAACCAGGAAAACACGAACTTGTTTATTGTGACCAACACTGCTTAACATTATTGGACGGTGGGGGAAGGGGGTCCTAGCATTTGTAATATGGCAAAAAAGAAATAATCCATAAGCCTACAGAAAGTAACAAGCAAGATTCTGTTGTGATTATATACTTTAAAAACCCTAGGAAAACTACTAAAGATTACAAGTTTTAATAAAAGCATCTGGCTATGTGGCTAGATATAAGGTAGACACACAAGTCAATACTTTTTCTCTATACCCATAAGAACAAACTAGACATTGAAGGGAGGGAAATCATTCTCTTTTACGTCAATGACAAAAAACACTTTGGAGTTAAATCAACAAGAAATGTGCAGGACTTAAAGTAAGTGACATCATATTAAAGAATATAAAGCACGCTCTAAAAAATAGATCATGCCATGTTCTTGGTTAGAAGACATAAGAATAATGAAAATAAATGTCAGCTTTAAATTTTATTTTTCAGAAACTGTAACTCATTTTCCAGAAGTCAAAGGTAAGTTGATCCAAAAACTTTCACTACTAAAGTGCATTTTCTTTTAATTTTATAAAAATGGGGAAATTGGTGGGGTTTTTTCCTGGTAAAAAAAAATTTTTTTTCCTTTCATAAAATTGAATATATGTAACTTATAAACAGTTGAAGAAAAATGAGAACTAGAAGTCACCCTGAACTTTCTTTGGCACTGCATGAGTTTGCGTTTTAATTTCTGCCAATATAATAGAGAACACCTGATTTTAAAATTCATATAGAAAAATGTCCAATAGTAATTAGAAATATTATGAACAAAAATAGTGCTTGGGTGGAGAAACACCTTGTATTATCAGGCATTTTAAAAAAGCACAAATACAGTAATATAAATAGCATGGTATCAGCCTAGAAATCATCAAAAAATAATAATAACTAATATTTTCTGATGTTTGCTGCCTCCTGACATTGCTCATTTTATCACCACCTATCTTACCTCTCCAGTAATTTCAAGAAACTTCACAGAAAATACAGACGGGATCCCAGGATATGTTAGAATCTAATATATAGTTTTAAATGTGTGACTAGTTTATTTTATCATCAATTTGTCGTTTTTGGTTATCTACCTGGAAGAAAATTAAGGTGCACTCCCCTCTTGCATCCTATATGAAACTAAATCCCTGTTTAATCAAATTTTAAATGTAAAAGACACAAATCACTTAAGAAGAAAATGTAGGAAAATACAGGCATGCCCTAAGGACCAGGGGATCTTTTAAAGCAAGATAGGAATTACCTGTTTTAAAGGCAAACATTTAAAACTATAAATGCTTCATGCTGGTGAAAATTCATGTAAAAGTACATTGGTGGGAAAGATGAATTGCTCCTGTCCTTTGAGAAAGTAGTCCCCATTGATGTTAAAAATTTGTATACATTTTAACCTAATAACCTTGCTTTGGAGATTCCATTGTATAAAAACAAATGTTTCAGTGCGTAATGATTTAATATATGAAATGTTTTCTGCAGCTTTATTTACAGAGGGAAAAATCTGAATATTGGAAAGAGTAAATAAATTGTGGCAAAATCCATATCACAGACTATGAATCAGCAGTAGAAATGAGTTAGAGCTTCAAAAGTTAAAAGGAGGTGTGAAAAGGATCTCTGTGTTGTGTTAAGTTAGAAACTCAAGTATGGATATAAAGTATGATTCATTTTTGGATGGAGCAAAAATGTGTCTATGTGTGTCCATGTAATATGCATAGTTATACATACGTTATATGGTTCTATATATGTTGGATGGATGAATATATATATGTGCATATGGGCATGGAAAAAGTTTGGAAAGATACAAACTTATATACGTTGTGTGTATGTGTGTGTGTGTGCACACGCATGTGTGTATGTGTGTATGATTGTAAAAACCAGTGAAGAAAAAGGAAGCAGGGGTATTGTTTAATAGGTAAGTGCCCACATTCATGTTTCTTAAATTTAGGGTAGATTTCTGGAACTGGAAACAAATGTTAAGAAAAATGCCAAAAGTGCTTATGCCATGGAGAAAAGGGGGGCCTGGAGTAGGGGTTTAAACAAAAACCTTTATGAGTAGAGGCCCAAAGCTGTGGTAATATGTGACTCAATAATATTCAGTAGAACCCCAGACAGTGGCTTTGGCATGGACCTGCCTGTGGGACGTAGGGAACACCCCAACTAACGCTCCCAGAGCCCCGTGAAGCCTTTTTGTTTTCTCTAGGTGCCAAGTGCTTCTTTCCATTCCACTACAGAAATGGGATTTTCTATGACTGCGTCAAGTTCAAGGCTAAAGACAAGTGGTGCTCCTTAAACGAGACTTACCAGGGATACTGGAAGTATTGCTCTGAGGAAGGTGCGTGTCTTGTCTCTGAACACCTCCACCTGGTGCTCTTGGTCGTTGGGGCTGAGGTTTGGTGAGACCTGCAAGAGGGTTCTGGAAAGGGACTCCACAGTCAATTAAGTTGTGAAAATACGGTATGCACAGCCCTCTGACGGTATTTAGATCACGTGGCGCCAAAGATAGGTTGCAAATGCTTCGACCACAGTACCTTGAAAAGAAGCCTTGTAGCCGAACTTCAATCCCCGATACTGTTTCCACATGCTTTTGGTAGAACAGCGCAGAGCAGATGGTGCTGGAGGGGACGTGTGTGCGCGCCTGTGCGCGTCAGGGCGACGAGAAGGTACCAGTCAGACTCCTTATTCTGATTGCTTCTTTCTTCTCTGTAGACTTTGCAAAATGTGTATTTCCCTTCTGGTTCAGACGCATGATCTACTGGGAATGTACTGAAGACGGGAATGTGTTTGGGAGAAAGTGGTGTTCACTGACCCAGAATTTTAACAAGGAAAAGGTCTGGAGATATTGCAGTTGATGGTGAGACTTATCGGGGAGGGGACGCAGAGGTTTAATCATGCTCCTGGGAAGGTATCTTTTCTTTTGGGAAAGGAGGACCCTCATTACAAGGGTTTTTTCTGCGCTAGGAATTGAAGGTGATCTGGCTGTGAGTAACTTGGAGTTTTGATTATGGGTTACAGGTTATACAGGGGTTTTGCTGTGGAAACCGATAGTGTAGCCTCAGCATTTTTATTTGCTGACTGGGGAACATGAGGCCCTTTAAAGAAGAAGCGTGTGGACCTTGGGTGGTGGTGATGTGTCAGGTAGTTTTACCGACTTGACAAATGCCTCGATCACTCTGGTGGGGGGAGCCAGTCACAGGGGAGGCCATGGGGGTCGGAGGGCAGGGAATAGGTGGGAGCTCTCTATGTCTTCTGCTCATTTTGCTGTGAACCTAAAATAAAGTCTGTTTTTAAATGCACTACTGTAATTAAGAATTCTTTTTAAAACAGAAAAAATAAGTGATGGCTGAGGTGGGGTCTGAAGTAGGAATACAGGTGTTGGCAGGAGAGTGGTAGAGGGGGGCTCAGAGCAGCTCAGACATGCACCACTAGGGTGGGCTAGGGTGATGGGGCTGCCGGGAGCTGGGCACGAGGTGCCGCATAGGGCATTTATCTACCGTGGCGTCGTAGGTCTCTGGAGCCATTCAGAAAATAAGCGAGTTTCATGTCTCCACAATTATAGGTTACTGAGCCCTTAGGACAGATACCATGCTGTGTGACTTCCACACGTCACTATTAACCTTTATAACAACCTTATGAGGTAGATATTATTGTCACCTTTTTCAGAAACCATGAATCAAATCGATTAACTTGCTTGCAGAGATACATGGCCATGAGACTTCTATAATATGCAAAGGTAATAAGATAAAAAGCTAAACATAGAATTGCCATGTAACCCAGAAATTTCACTCCTAGGCATATGCCCAAATGAATAGAAAGGAAAAACTTGAACAAATACTTCCAATGCCACTGAATTGTACACTTAAAAATGGCTAAAATGGCAAAATTATTATATGTATCCCCATAATTTTTTTTTAATTATAAGGAAAGAAAGGTAATAACATAATGACAGTGGAAAAGTTGGCATTTCTGCCTCCATGGTGTATTTGTCTTCTTTTCTGCTTCAAACTTTTGGGCCAAAAGGGGAAAAGATGTAGGGGAGAACTTCTCAGCCCTGCAGCGCTGCCCATAGGCTTGTTAATCATTAGAAAGTATTTTTGCAGTCTGAGATTTCTGCAAGTAACCCCTTACCCAAAGCTTTCTTCCTCCAAAAGATAGGGAAAATAAAGGATTGCCCTGCCAAATAGTTACAGGAACATGGTGACCATGCCTAGGTTGGTGAGAGTCAGTCACCCAAGGACGTGGAGTTCTCAGCTCTCATCAGACCCTCTCTGGAGCCCACATGCCTGCAGCCTTCAGTCACCCCTGAATCTGTTCCAGACTTACCAGGGATACTGGAAGTATTGCTCTGAGGAAGGTGCGTGTCTTGTCTCTGAACACCTCCACCTGGTGCTCTTGGTCGTTGGGGCTGAGGTTTGGTGAGACCTGCAAGAGGGTTCTGGAAAGGGACTCCACAGTCAATTAAGTTGTGAAAATATGGTATGCACAGCCCTCTGACGGTATTTAGATCACGTGGCGCCAAAGATAGGTTGCAAATGCTTCGACCACAGTACCTTGAAAAGAAGCCTTGTAGCCGAACTTCAATCCCCGATACTGTTTCCACATGCTTTTGGTAGAACAGCGCAGAGCAGATGGTGCTGGAGGGGACGTGTGTGCGCGCCTGTGCGCGTCAGGGCGACGAGAAGGTACCAGTCAGACTCCTTATTCTGATTGCTTCTTTCTTCTCTGTAGACTTTGCAAAATGTGTATTTCCCTTCTGGTTCAGACGCATGATCTACTGGGAATGTACTGAAGACGGGAATGTGTTTGGGAGAAAGTGGTGTTCACTGACCCAGAATTTTAACAAGGAAAAGGTCTGGAGATATTGCAGTTGATGGTGAGACTTATCGGGGAGGGGACGCAGAGGTTTAATCATGCTCCTGGGAAGGTATCTTTTCTTTTGGGAAAGGAGGACCCTCATTACAAGGGTTTTTTCTGCGCTAGGAATTGAAGGTGATCTGGCTGTGAGTAACTTGGAGTTTTGATTATGGGTTACAGGTTATACAGGGGTTTTGCTGTGGAAACCGATAGTGTAGCCTCAGCATTTTTATTTGCTGACTGGGGAACATGAGGCCCTTTAAAGAAGAAGCGTGTGGACCTTGGGTGGTGGTGATGTGTCAGGTAGTTTTACCGACTTGACAAATGCCTCGATCACTCTGGTGGGGGGAGCCAGTCACAGGGGAGGCCATGGGGGTCGGAGGGCAGGGAATAGGTGGGAGCTCTCTATGTCTTCTGCTCATTTTGCTGTGAACCTAAAATAAAGTCTGTTTTTAAATGCACTACTGTAATTAAGAATTCTTTTTAAAACAGAAAAAATAAGTGATGGCTGAGGTGGGGTCTGAAGTAGGAATACAGGTGTTGGCAGGAGAGTGGTAGAGGGGGGCTCAGAGCAGCTCAGACATGCACCACTAGGGTGGGCTAGGGTGATGGGGCTGCCGGGAGCTGGGCACGAGGTGCCGCATAGGGCATTTATCTACCGTGGCGTCGTAGGTCTCTGGAGCCATTCAGAAAATAAGCGAGTTTCATGTCTCCACAATTATAGGTTACTGAGCCCTTAGGACAGATACCATGCTGTGTGACTTCCACACGTCACTATTAACCTTTATAACAACCTTATGAGGTAGATATTATTGTCACCTTTTTCAGAAACCATGAATCAAATCGATTAACTTGCTTGCAGAGATACATGGCCATGAGACTTCTATAATATGCAAAGGTAATAAGATAAAAAGCTAAACATAGAATTGCCATGTAACCCAGAAATTTCACTCCTAGGCATATGCCCAAATGAATAGAAAGGAAAAACTTGAACAAATACTTCCAATGCCACTGAATTGTACACTTAAAAATGGCTAAAATGGCAAAATTATTATATGTATCCCCATAATTTTTTTTTAATTATAAGGAAAGAAAGGTAATAACATAATGACAGTGGAAAAGTTGGCATTTCTGCCTCCATGGTGTATTTGTCTTCTTTTCTGCTTCAAACTTTTGGGCCAAAAGGGGAAAAGATGTAGGGGAGAACTTCTCAGCCCTGCAGCGCTGCCCATAGGCTTGTTAATCATTAGAAAGTATTTTTGCAGTCTGAGATTTCTGCAAGTAACCCCTTACCCAAAGCTTTCTTCCTCCAAAAGATAGGGAAAATAAAGGATTGCCCTGCAAAATAGTTACAGGAACATGGTGACCATGCCTAGGTTGGTGAGAGTCAGTCACCCAAGGACGTGGAGTTCTCAGCTCTCATCAGACCCTCTCTGGAGCCCACATGCCTGCAGCCTTCAGTCACCCCTGAATCTGTTCCCCGTTCGGCTCCCCCTTTCCCTAGCATTAAAGCCTGCAATCAACCCTATATTAAAATGGTGCTGTAGGACATTAGTCTGCCACCTTCTTGGTCTGCTGGCTTTGAAAATAAAGTCACTTTCCTTGTACCAGCACCTGGTCTCTTGACTGCTTGGTATGCTGGGCAGTGAGTGGCCCAAGCTTGGACGCGGTAACTCTGAGAGTTGTAAAGTTGAATCCTATCCTGGGATGCAGAAATTATACCTATCAGAAAATGGTGCATCTCACTCACAGGCACATGCTCATGTATTTATTAATCATCCTTTACCACAATAAGGATTATTTATTTATTGGGATCTCATTTATTAGTTTTCCATTAACTTGCACGCACATCCACATAGTATGGATTCTCATTTGCTTCAACACCATAGCAAAATGTAGATACCTTGAAAGATTTCCCTACTCCTTCCAGGCCATCCTTCCATGTGATTTATTGTTCCTGTCTGTAGTCTTCTCTCTGACAACTGAAAAGAAACATACGAAATGCCCCACCTGGGAGCAGCCTTCACCCTGAGGAATGAATGACCCCTTAGCTGATTTTCTGATTTCCACGCAATGGCTGGCCTTTCACTCAGGGCTACTGTCCTGTGATTGGTCCACAGACCCTTCACTTTCCCCTTCCATCCTACTCCCGAACCTTTGCATGAGCAAGAGATTGCATGAGAGAAAAGATTATGTACTGGAAACCTACTATATCCGAGGCAGGGTAACTACTGTGCTCCATACTTGGTCTCATTGACTCCTCAGAGCAAGCTTGCGAGTTTGGTACCATCCCCCTTTAATGGAAGACGAAATCAAGGCTCTGCAGAAATCACGTTAAGTAACTTGCATAAGGCCTTGTAACTCACACTAGAAAGGGCCTGGTGAGAGTCCTCTCTATGCTCGTTTTTCTTCCCTATCACTTCCACAGTCCCAGAGCAGCGGTGGGTTTGTGTCCCTCTTCCTCTGACCTGCTGTGTCATTCCCAGTGATTGTCCCTCAGAGGGAAACATATTTTTTAATTAAAAACGACAGTCCTTGATTAATTTTCAGAGTGTCATCTGTTCAGATACTTCCTTAGAATAGATCTGTTCACTTTTTGCAAGTGTTGTAGGAGGCATTTTTGAGATAAGTCTGATTTTTTTTCTTTGATCTATTCCTGTTTAAGAATTCAGGATCCCAAGAAAATATCAAAGTCCTTCCATAATGCAATTTACCTCCAAGGGTCAAACAAATCACCCAGATATTC